TTTTATTTAAAATATAAATTTATTATTAGTAATTAATTTTTTATATGTTTTTATTCATTTTAATTAATAATATATATTTTAGATAGTAAAGAAATAAACGAAAAATCTATTACTACACCACAACACAAACAAATGAAACTTAAGAGTGCCCGTGATTCATGAAGGTTTTAATGATTTCCTAAAAGAGCTTTTTTTTTTGTGGTACATTAAAAGGGCTTATTAAATTAACTAATATATAGGGCCCCACCCCTTTGGTGCACGGCAAAACAACATTCTCTTTATTTTAATTTTTTTAAGAGTAATATTAGGGAGGATAAAAATTTGATATCAATATATTACATCATTAAATTAATTGATATATATGATATCATAGAACTTTAAAAAAATGTTAATTATTAAATAATATAAAATTTATTTTTTAATATTTTAAATAACGTGACTTATACTATATTATTAATATCATATTTTGATATCAAATTTTAGTCTCATTTATTTTTTTTAATAAAAATTTATTAAAACAATATAATTTTAAAGTGTCTTCAGTTTAATTTTTTACATGTCTAATTTATAAATATTTTTTTCATATATAAATTATTATATAATGGGAAGAGTGTACATTCACTTTATTTCCTATAAAAAGGCCAAACCCTCAAATTGATCCTTAAATAAAAGAATGAAAATAGATTTGCCCCCAAAAAAAGAAATGAATTATTCCTCTAAATTATTGATTAAAATAAATTATTTATTATTTAATATATGATGTTATCACACATCAGCTTTTCATTAAAAACAAGCTTAAGTGACAAATGGATTCCTAACATGTGATGGCATCATATGTTAAATAATATTATGTGATTTGCTTTGGTTGACAATTTAGAAGAATAATTTGTTCATGCTTTTTTTTTAAAGAACGGATCTATTCTTGTTGTTCCTCGAACACTCTCCTCCATCTCCACATCATGTCATTGTTGTGCCTCGATCACAAAATCAAATAAAATAATAATTAGTGAACTTATCAAGAAATATTGATAAGAAAATACCATCTAAATAGATGTGAAAAGCTTACTTACTTTAAAGCAATTCACACCTCTGCGAAGTATAGATCAACCGGTGCAACAGAGATACATAAAGCATGTCACCCCCAAGATACTACAGTTTTATAATAACACTCTATGGATTTGCACTACCCATAGTGTCACCTTACTAAAAACACCTTCTTTACCCAAAAATATTTAGAAAATAAAGTGAGGTAAGAAAGAATAGGGGGATGTGTAGAAAACCCATTTTTTGAGCAAAAGACATGTCCTATTTATAGGACTCATAGTCTTATAACTCCCATTTGTAGATTAATGGTAGGAATAAATTGGGCAATTATTATGAAATAATATGCCGTTAAATAGGACAATTAACCTCCAACAACTAGTTTGACCAAGTTATTAATGGGACAATAAATTCAATTTATAAAATATTTTATTTTATTTTTTATTAAAATATTTAAGTTCCAATAACCCCCCACTATTTTAATAAAAAATAAACCTTTCTTTGGGCAAAGATGGATTATTATGCATAATAAAGGTAGTTAAGCGTTGAACCTTTACTCAGTGAATCAACAATTCTTAATCCAAAGTCAATAGTGAACAAAATCTTGAACTATGACCCAATTGGCAGATACAAGAATTGTATCACACACATAATGATCCGAATGTTGAGTTTTTTCACACAGTTGGTGCATTATGGCCTTGCGCATGATCTCGGTTTTCATGGTTGATCTAGAAAATTGCCCATCCAATTTTCATAGAATTGGCCTCACCTTGACACCCACATAGGTGAAATTTGTCAATGATGCTCCCATAACTAAGACACCCCTTTTTATGAGTTACAAATTTCATTAAGAGTATAAAACTCAACCCTCAATTCGTTATGGGATAGATGCATACTCACCTTAAGAATGGGACCGAAAATTTTTTTCATTAAATATTGATGTATCTTTCAACAACGACTTCTCTATGATTCATTTTTCCCATTCAAAACCCAATTCTTAGAATTCGGGTTGGGTATTCTCATGGGAAGTTCCACATTATTGGGCTTGAATCCCATTCCCCTCAATGAGCACTAGACCTTGGACTATGATCATAGATTTTCCTCTAACTTTTGTTTTTGCCAAAAGCCTAGTTGGTGGTATAGTGGGTTAAAAGAGATTCAACTCATTCCTTTTCTCACTTTTTCACATCAACCCACATGTCTATTAGCTCATAAAATTCACATTCATATTTCTCAAATTTTCAATTCATGGTACCACAAATTTTTTTTTTTTATATCAAATTGAGTTAGTGAACCACCATTTTCTTTCCATACATGTCAAAACATGTATTTAAGAAATTTTAACTCAAACCCCATTGTACCTTGTTGTACAATAGGAATGTCCATCCCATACCCCTTTTCTCAAATGCCTTAGTATTTTTTCATCATACACCATTATACCATAATTGTATAATAGGAATGCATATCACATTTATTTTGTTAAGCACCATTATACCTTATTGTATAATAGAAGTGCATATCATATTTGCTTTGTTAAGCACCATTATACCTTAT